ACATGGTCCAATCTTCTTCCACGCTGGCATCCACACCCAGCTGCTTCGGTCAGGTGCAAAGGTGCGGAGACAAAAGATGACCTTGAGCTTCTAGAAAGGAATTTTTTATTTTGAAAACAACACATTCTACCCCTTGCTATTCCCCCCCCCCCTTAATGAAAGTGTGGCAAGCCAAAGATTCTTAAAGGAACCGCTACAAGCCTGACACTCTCCTTGTAGAGAGAATCAGCATATAATAAACTCATATTCTTTTAATCTGCCAGGACTCTTGCGGTTTCCTGCACTTAACTCTTGGTGTATCACCAGGAACGGGCATGGCATGTCCCCTGCGACATGCATGTCATAGGATCACCCCCATCAGTTTAGACGCAACAGGAATTGGAAGCCCACAGTGATGCTGATTTTATTCCCATGAGATCCAGCGTGTATCCCACACTGTCAGATCTCGCGACTGACAGCTAAGACAAGTAAATTTGGAGTGGAATGCCAAGACACACATAGTAGTGGTGGGTAGCCAAGAAGAGCCTAAAAAAAAGGCTGCTCTGAAATCCAGTAACAGACTTTAGAAATCATCGCTTTACTTCTTTAAGCAGATGTTTCTGCAGTCTCCTTGTTTGGCTACCCAGCTCTGACTGGACCGGGCTAAACCAGCATCTCCCAGAGTGAGAGGCATAACACCTGATTCCCCTGAAGAATATTTCCTCCCTTCCCCCCTCTTGTTTTGTCTCTAGACATTTGTTCAATTTAGAATCACAGAATCATAGAATTCTTTATTGGCCAAGTGTGATTGGACACGCATAAGGAATTTGCCTCCGGTGCATGAGCTCTCAGTGTACATACATACAACAGCGATCTCATAGATCAGCAATCGTAAGATGCAATCAAAAATCATAAGATACAAATAACAATTGATAAATCATAAGATACCAATAGGAGAAGGTAGTAGGAAAGATGAGAAAGATGAGGAGGATAATGGCAGTACAGCCCTACTACGTGGGTAAATGTCTTTAGGCATAAGAGTGCTGTTAAAGAGTGGTGCGGTGGCCTAGAGGTGGCGCTCTCATGTCACAGTCGGAAGGCTGGGAGTTCAATCCTAGGTAGAGGCAGATATTTCTCTCTCTGGGCACAGTGAGAATATATCTGCTGAGCAAAACTCTGTATTGGCGACAGGGAAGGGCATCCGGCCATTAAAACACTCTGCTAGCTCCATTCAGTTGCCCAGATTCCACCCCACAAGGGATTATGGGGTCGTTGAAAGTTGATGATAAGAGTGCTGTGAGAATGAGGTGTTTAGCAGAGTGGTGGCATTGGGGGCGGGGGGGGGATACCTTTGTGCCTATCAGTTTTGGCATGCAATGTCCTATAGCGGCGTCCATAGGGGATAAGTTGAAACAGTTGATGTCCAGGATGTGAGGGGTCTGTAGATATTTCCCTCTTTTTCTGCTAGTTAGTCTCCATTGACTAGAAATCCAGAGTTTGATTTGATTTTGTCTCTTCCAGCAACCTTTGGAAACATCAGAAGTTATTATCGATCGACCTGGATAAAGTTGCATTGCCCAGCTTCCACCAGAACCGGCCTCAAGTAAGACCTTTATCACCGGGAGAGAGTGGAGCATGGAATATTCCAGGAGGTAAGTACAGTGGAATTGCCCTGAAGTTCAGCCCTCCATCTTAGGACATGTCTGGTCTACCAAATGTTACCAGTTTTGGTCACCTTGATGTAAAAAAGATGTGGAGACTCTAGAAATTCTAAAATGCAGAGAAGAGCAACAAAGATGATTAGGGAACTCTAGGATAAAACATATAAAGAACGGTTGTAGGAACTGGGTGTGTCTAGTTTTATGAAAAGAAGGACGAGGGGAGACATGATAGCAGTCTTCCAATATCTCAATGGCTGTCACAAAGAAGAGGGAGCACCTGAAGGCAGGACAAGAAGCAATGGGTGGAAACTAATCAAGGAGAGAAGCAACTTAGAACTAAGGAGAAAATTCCTGACAGTGAGAATAATTAACCAGTGGAACAACTTGCCTCCAGGAGTTGTAAATGCTCCAACACTGGAAGATTTTAAGAAGATGTCGGATAGCCATTTGTCTGAAGTGGTGTAGGGTTTTCTGTCTAAGCAGAAGCAACTCTGTTATTCCATTCCAAATGTGGGTCACAGCTTTCCACAGTCACATCCTCACCCCTTGTGATCTTCGCTGCCAGCTTCCAATAAGTCAAGTCAGTGAGGAAAGCAGCCACCCCCTGATGATGTGCTTAATGATGGCACATGATTCCTTAACAACCACAACCTGAACTGTCATTGTACACTGAAGATCACATTTAATTTCATTGTACAAGGTGCAATGACAATAAAGTAAAGTAAACTATTAAATAAACCACAGTGGTTCAGGTTCACTCTACATAGGCTCTTATTAATAGCCTTCAATTCATTCCTTTTCCTTCTGGCTTAATCTGCCTTTTGGAGGCAGCATCTCATTCAAAAGCCATGTTCCCTGGCCTTACCAGATGTTTACCTCTGGGATCCTATGATTAAATCAGTCATATTTTGAAGATGTGGGTGTTTACAGTGCAGATAGCTCATTTAGCGATGGCCTGATGTAACGACCGTTTGTAGTTACGACAGTGACAAGTAACTGTGGCCGGTTCTCAGGTCTGTAAAGCCAAGGGAAAACTTCATAAGATCGTAAGCACAGTTGTAACTTCAAACGTTCACTAAGTGAACTGTTGCAAGACTGCCTGCTTTATTGCATCCTGGGGTTTTTGTTTGTCTTCAGTCACAGAACGCATTTGAGATGAATGGCTATATAAATCGAACCAATAAATCAATAATGTAACGCCTGCAAATAAAAGCATCTCTTTAGGAAAAATGAGTTGCAGTGGTTAGAATGCAATATTGCAAGGTTACTTCTGCTGATTGCCGGCTGCCTGCAATTTGACAGATCAAATCCCACCAGGTTCAAGATTGACTCAGCCTTCCATCCTTCCGAGGTGGATAAAATGAGGACCCAGATTGTGGAGGGCAAGACGCTAACTCTGTAAACCACTTTGAGAGGGTTGTAAAGCACTCTGAAGCGGTATATAAGTCTAAGTGCTATTGTTATCTTCCTTCGTATTAGAATGCAGTATTGCAGGCTAACTCTGCCTACTGCCATGAGTTCAATTCTCTCTGGCTCCAGGTTGACTCAGCCTTCCATCCTTCCGAGGTGGGTAAAATGAGGACCCAGACTGTTGGGGGCCAGTAGGCTGACTCTCTAAACCGCTTAGAGAGGGCTGTAAAGCACCTTAAAGCGGTATATGTCTAAGTGCTATTGCTAAAAGGTTTAAAAACTGAATGTTATTTCCTGGAAACACCGATAAATTTTGCATGTGGTTTTTCACATGGACATTTTTGCTCCCTCCTGTGCAGGAATCATGCCCGGACGCTACAATCAGGATGTGGGAGGGACGATTCCCGTCTTCGCTTTCCTGGGTGCCATGGTGGTTCTGGCCTTCTTTGTGGTGCAAATCAAATCCAAGAGCAGGCCAAAGAGGCGGAAACTTCGAGTCAAGCGGCCACAAATCATCCAGCCAGGCCACCCTCCGAAGACACCGTCCGTTTGATTGCTGCAGCCAAAGACGATCGCATTTTCCCCTGACCGCTTTATGGAATTGCGACCGACTGCTAAAAAAGACCTTTGACCCGACCTAGCACCCAATCTCCTTTTCTGCCTTGGGTGATTGACGTCTCCATGGATGATCTTCAGATTAAAAAAAGAAAATCCCACGCTATTCTTTTTCAGTCGCTGAACTGACCGAAGGCTTAAACGCTATTTAAAAAGGAGTCAGTTGCTTCTGAGTTTGGCAAGGATCTTTTTTCCCCCCTTTTAACATTGACCAAACCTTTTCATGAGAGGCTATTTTCTGTATTTATTTTCAGAAGGGGACCAGGGGAAAATCCTCATCAAGGCCCTTGACTCAACGGATGGCGGCGCCATTTTTTCCCCCCTTGAATGGTGTGCCTTTTTTTAAATTTTATGTTCTCTCTTTATGAAGACAAAGAGAACTCAGATCATCCCTCCTGTAAGGATGAGAAAAGAAACCGACAGTTTGAACAAAGCAGGGACAGAAAAATCGGGGTGGCTGATTTGTCTGATCAGGGTGGACCTGCAGTCCTTTCATTTATTTTTTATAAAAGCAACTTACCATGAGGTTTTGTAATTCTTCAGCATGATTTCACCATTGCTGGTGGATAAAATTTTTTTTCAATAAATATGCTATATTGAAATGGAAACAATGAAGAGGCAGCTCCCCTTACACTAAATGAAAGAGAAAGTGCATTGGGAGCTCAGGAATGAAATGAGGGGGCCTTGGTGCTTTCTGAGCTTCGTGATTTCTTGCGGTCGTTTCATTACCCAATTAGGTAACATCATCAGTGCTAGAAGAGAATGGGACTTGCGAAAAAGAGGAGGAAGAGTGTGGGTTTTTTTGTGTTTTCTAAGCTTGGTTGTTGGTCAGTTTTTTTTGAAGGCATTTCATTACAAAACTAGGTGACATCATCAGTGCTAGGAGTGGAGTTTGCACCCTGTTTATATACAACTGGGTTGCCCTGTCAGCATTGGCGGGATAACAGCCTAATCCAGGAATCGTCAATCTTAAACACTCAAAGAGCCATTTGGACCCGTTTCCCACAGAAAAGAAAACTCCGGGAGCCACAAAACCTTTCCCGTGCCTGACTATTTCCTGAGCGGCCACAAAACTAGTATATGTAATTGAATTAAAGGTTCTGTTTTCCTCTGAAACTCTCCTTTTCTTGGATTTAACCATGTTTGGCCAACTGGGGGTCGAAAAGCTCAATACATCGCGTGCCAGCGGGTGTCACACATTGGCGGTTGTGACGCATATTTTGAGCAACAGGGAGCCATAGCAGCGGGATGAAAGAGAGACATGCGTCTCCAGAGCTGTGAGTTGCTGACCCCTGGGCTAATCCAAGATCTACCATTAACATTTTTATTGAGTTATAAAGTAATGTAAAATATAAAATACAGAGTAAATAGGAAAGAAGTGAGGAGTAAAAGGGGAAGGAGAAGTGAGGTAAAGTAAAATAAGGCATTAACATCAAATCACAACATTTTGCTTTTGCATAAAAATAAAAGCAAAAAAATTCTGATTTGATAATGCCTTATTTTACCGTGACAGAGAGTTGGAAATCATTGCTTCTTTTCTTTTTTTTTCTTACCTTTCCTCACTTCTCCTTCACCTTTTCCTCCCCACTGCTTTCCTATTTACTCTGTATTTTGTATTTTGCATGACCTTACAACTCAATAAAAATGTTAATGGCCTAATCCAAGATCTACCATGAAGAAAACTGCCCTTCACCAATACTGGCAGGGAAAGCTACCTGTATATAAACAGGGAACAAACCCTACTCCAGAATTAATCATATAACTTAGTTTGGTCATGAAATGCCTACAAAAAAACCAACCAGGCTTGGAGAGCATCAAGGACCTCACAGAAGGAGAAAGCCAAGTAATATGGGGAACTAGCTTGTGTCTTGTCCCTTATTCCCCCCCTATCCTTTTCTGAACATTTTACATTTGTAGCTTCAGCAAAAGACGGTCCCTTTTAAGTCCCATGGAGAACAATTTCCAGAGTGAGAATCTATAAAACCGGGAGCCTTATCAGTTGTTAAAGAGAGACAAAACTTTGTTGTTGTTGTTAGTTGTGAACTCATGTCTGACCCATCGTAACCCCATGGACAACGTTCCTCCAGACCTTCCTGTCCTCTACCATCCTCT